GTTGCTTGTGACAGAGATATTTACTTTCTATTGTCTGGTTCGCTCTGCAACGCCATTTCAGCTAATTATGGTCCAGAAAATGCGCGCCTTTGTGGCAAAACGCACGGTATTATCTTAGAGCGCACCGCCTGATTTTAAAAGGTGCGGCCGCTTCGACTTTTCATGGCCCACTGATGCGGCCCTCCGGCTTTGAAAAGTTGCCCACCCCTGCATAGACGGTAGTATTTGGAGTTCTTGTATATAATAAGATAGCCGAGTCGGTGTAGAGCAAATAGTGTACAGTTAGTTACAGGTTAACTGTGCATTGTCAGGTTAACTTGTGTACTGTCTGCAGTGCATGCGTGGTACGGTAAAAATACACGCGTCGGGTGTCCTGGTCGAGCGGCAATTCTTGACAGCCGATTCCCGCGCTGGCAACCTTTTATTGTGGTGGAATTTAAACGGGGCGGAGGTAATTCAAACGGGGCGCAACGATTCAAACAGGGGGGAGTTTTCCCAAACGGGGCGCAACGATTCAAACATGGGGGAGTTTTCCCAAACGGGGCGCAACGATTCAAACAGGGGGGAGTTTTCCCAAACGGGGCGCGCGCGCCCTGTTTGCGCAACGTAGGGAGAACCCTGTATATGAGGAAACGATTTCGCACGATGCTAGGCGAATGTACTGTGTATGATTTGAGCTAAAGTTGGATGAGTTACGCGTAGTAAATCGTAGGTATTATAAGGCTAGTAAATGACGAATTTCCCTTGTTTATTGATGTCACACTCCTTCCCTATTATCTACTCCTGATATTATATTTATGTGGTAACATTATATGATCTATTTTAAAGTTTTCTAAATCTAGATTGCCAAGCCAATAATACTATCTATAATTATTTAGTCAAGTATATAACCAGTCAGATAGTTCCAACTGTGAGGCTATAACGGTGTTAGCAAGCTTACGCTGAGAGGGTCTATTCCTCCGGGGTACTGCCGGAACGTACCCTGGTACTATCTAATATGCCGGACCATACCTCGCCTACTCCACTAACGAGTCTAGGGAGTCGCCTACGCCTACTCCCTAACCCTACCCCTAACCATATCAAATAGTGACCAGGGTACGTTCCGGCAGTACCCTGGGGGACATATACCCTATGAGCAGGGCTCAATTTTAACAGTCGTCAGATTTTCTCTCGGGCAACTACAAATTGCTTCCGTGGTTGTCCGGTGTCCAACCTCTAAATTAATTTTGAAATATTTTTTTTTAATTTGTTAATTTTCAATTTTTGCTCATCTGTGACTTGACACAGTGTTAATGTAAATGTTATGAAATAAATTTCATGCAACTTTTAATTACTATTATTATACGTCATTGATCCCAGCAGCATCATTTACCACATTACACAATATTTTATTCCCTTCATATAATGAGTGAAACAATGCGAATGGATATGTCTGCTGTCACTGCAATAAGTACAGAATGTACATGATTAGGCTTTTTGCTTTACAGCACTGAGCATCACGTGAGCAGAGCGCATGCAGCACATGTTTAAATAATATCCGGACAACCAAAACTCTTGAGGGACAACCATATGCTACTCTCTTGGTTGTCCTCCGGAAAACCCAAAAAAACCTTAAAATTGAGCACTGCCTATGAGCCAAGCTTACTGGGGCTCATAGGGTCTATGTCCCCCAGGGTACTGCTGGAACGTACCCTGGTAACTATCTGATATGGTTAGGGTTAGGGTTAGGGAGTAGGCGTAGGCGACTCCCTAGACTCGTTAGTGGAGTAGGCGAGGTACGGTCCGGCATATTAGATAGTACCAGTAAACTAGTCGTTCATTGCTAACTTAGTGTAGCAATTTCTTAAACAAAACTTTTTTTACAAATTTGTTTTTGTTTTTTATAAACAATTATAATGGCAACAACAAACCAAGCTAAATCCCCGTGGGGTAGCACAGTCGAGCTGTGCCCCGTAGAGGCTGTCCAGGCCTCTTCTTCATACATGTCCCTATATTTCATTTATATGTTTCCAACATATTTTGTATATAACTTCATGTCTGCTGCTTGTTCTATTTCCAATTATATTCAATTTTGCTTTTGTTTTATTGTTATCATACAAACATTTTGTTCAAATATTTCTCATCATATATCGTATTCTTATGAGAGACGCCTTTACACTTAATTAATTTCTCTAAGGGTTGGCTGACTAGATGACCGTATGGTCTTTTCCCCATCCCTTCACTGCACGTTATTTATATTTTGTTAAAAAAATCCTTGTATTTACTGATATTGGAAGTGATAAAATAAAGTCTTATCTTATCTTATCTTATCTTACCAAATACCATGGGTTTTGTATAATTTTGTATAATCAAGAAGTTTCAATTAATGAGTTTACAATAATGTCGTTGGTATTAGGTTTTACACAGGAAATAATAATAATAATAATAATATATGCGATTCTAAATGGGTACGATCAATAACCCATAGTTAGTGCCATTGGTACCATGTGCATCTGTGTCTGTGGTACTGATGCTGCAAGCTTACATCTGATCAGTATATAGATCCGTTGCGCAGTGATTCGATTACGATTTACATTTATGAACGGCAACGTTTTAGCAACAGCTACTCAGTGTATTCACTATTCTCATTTTTGTATATAGTGAATATTTGCGCTTGATTAACAATTTATATTACTATTTAGACAAGTAATAGACATTTGCTTTACGATCTCTGAGAATAAAAAAAATTGTAAAACTGTAGCATATATAGGGACTATCTCGCACATGTGTTCGTGCGCAAGAACTGTTGTGTACGCCGGAACTGATTTTGAGCCTGGTTTAAGCAACAGTGATAGTTTCTTTAAATATGAGTTGTTTTACACTTTCTGATCTCGTCCAACACCTCATGTCTAATATATTGACATGTAGCTGACGTTTTTTGTCATGGAAATACAAGAAGAATATGTGGATCACCTACGAGTGGTGTTCGAATTGTGTGATGTACACAAAGAGGGCATCATTTCTGTGGAGCAGTTTGAGAATGTTGCTGCACCATTCTTCTGTGATAACGTAGGCGAGTCGAACGAAGACTACGACGAGGTAGCTTTTGTTAGTTTGATATCACTAGAGACTTAGTGTAATTTCATCCCTTATTCATTTTCTTGTTTCGTTAGCGTGAATGGCGAGTACAGGATGGTCCGCTTGGCCGCTTGTAGCTGAATCAGTGAAGTCGACGGCAATGCCTACTGTGTTCATTGTATTTATCTGTTGCCTAATGCAGAGAGGGTCTATGTCCCCCGGGGTACTGCCGGAACGTACCCTGGGTACGGTCCGGTATACCGGAACGTACCCTGGTACTATCTAATATGCCGGACCGTACCTCGCCTACTCCACTAACGAGTCTAAGGATCGCCTACGCCTACTCCCTAACCCGAACCCAAACCCTAACCCTAACCCTAACCCTAATCCTAACCCTAACCATATCAAATACTGAAATAGTGACCAGGGTACGTTCCGGTATACTGGACCGTACCCAGGGTACGTTCCGGCAGTACCCTGGGGGACATAGACCCTAGATGAGCTTTGCGCTGAGTAATACGGTACTAGCCTATCGGACGGTGTTGCCCCTTACTGGTAATGATTATGAGTGTATAACACACGTCAAGTTATAGAAATGGCATGTATATGTCCCCACAGGCCCTTGGAGGCTCATGTGTCAAGAAGGGTGCTAGTGACTCTATAAGACATGACCCAGAGTAAAAGAGCGAAGCGTATCGGTATATAAATTTATAGACTAGCGTACCCTTCTTGTCAATCTTGACACATGAACCTCCAAGGGCCTGTGATGTCACCCTATTAACGCAGATGTGGTCGTTGTCGTATCAGGTACTACAGATATGTACCCGAGGTAGTTTTAGGTTGTTTAGTATTATGTTTATATTTTTATATAATTAGGAGGTAGTTTTAGGTTGTTTAGTATTATGTTTATATTTTTATATGAGGTATGTTTAGGGTTATGGTTAGGGTTAGGGTTAGTGTTAGGGTTAGGGTACACTTCTGTAGTACAAGTCTGGTACACTTTGTGTATACATATATGTACCTCGGGTACATATCTGTAGTACCTGATGGGACAACGACCCCTTGAGCCCTATTAACAGGAGTGAGTAAATGCGATTAAATTAGTTGTTATCCACCCTGATTATGTAATCTTGTGTTTAGTAATAAGATAATTTGTTGAATATAATAATATGTTTGTAATAAGTTGTGTGAAGTAATGTGCAGAGACTCCAACCCTAAGCATCAACTAAACTGGAGATTCTCCAGCCTGGACCCCTTGGCAAACTGGCGACCACACTCTGAGCGCACGGATTGCGTTTCGGCGCTCGCCTATTACGGGTGGGGTCCAGGTGCCCGCCTTAGGGGGCGGGAGTCCAGGGGGCAGCACCCCTGGAAGCTCCTGCATTTTAAGTTTTTTTTTAGTATTGAAACAAGCAATTTTTTACACATTTGCTTGATTCATTTTATTAAAAAGAAACAAAGTGAAATAGCATCTGTAGATATTGCTGACCTTAATTCTGTCACTTTATTCCTGTTGTTCAAACTGAAGTGTGTTCTAGGTTGTACTTCCTCAATCAAATTATTATTTTTTTACAAAAGTCATTACACTTTCTTTCGTTTTTTTTGGGGGGGGGGAGAAAAGAAAACTTAAGCTGCATAAAAATGCAGCTTTTAAAAGCGGGAGAACGGGAGATCTTGGGAAAATGGCCCCAAAACAGGAGATCTCCCGCCCAAAACGGAACAGTTGGAGTCTCTGAATGTGTGTAAGGCTATGTCATTGCATGGGCACTGCCATTCATAATCACAGGCAATTGGGCCATTCCAATAATAAAATCAGAAGTGTAGCTAGTAATGTTTATGTACTCTTTGCAGGGTGTCTTATGTAGAGGCACAGTGGCACACTGCCGTTGTGAAAATGCTCACCTCGTATTTTTAGGGTGCCTCAAATGCAGTGTAAGACATTCAAATTTTAATCCTCCAATGGAGAGGAGGAATTTTCCCCTCTCCCTCTCTACCCCCGCGTCCACCTGCAGCATCCACATGCGTGCCTACGGCACACATTTGAATCCATCATTGGCGTTTTTTTCCAAAACTGGCCATTACCCCCTTTGTCTAATTTTCCCTCAGAGGAAACTCTGCTCTATGTCGCCTAATAATTTTAATTAAACATCGGCCAAAAGCTCATCTGCAACATGGTAGTAGTGTCACACTGTCACTGCATGTTTGCCATGATGCACTACTGTATACTCTGTATATTTCGCAGTGGTTTAATTTTCGCGAATTTCGTAAACGCATCCCCGACCGCGAAAATAACAACACGCGAATAATTCATACCGGATAATACCGAATAATTCCTAATTCACCGACCGCGAAATTGTCCGTCAAGTCTAAATTCGCGAAAAGTATCTGTACGCGAAAAATATGTCATACATACAGTAATCTACGCAGGCACGCACACACACAAGTGCACGCATGCAAGCACACATGCGCACGCTCACACAAACACACACACACACACGCACGCATGCACGCACTCACCCACTCACGCACACGCACTATGCAGATTTAGGATAACAAACCTAGTCTATTGGGTTACATTATTGTATCAGAGGGACATAACCTTGGGAAGAGATAACTATAACTATAGAGATAACTATAGAGATAATGTAACATATGGTCGATTCACACTCACACTATGGGTGTGATAGATATTATTACACTCATATCTTTTCAGTATTTGGACACGGTGGCATGTGTGCAGTGAAATTATATGTTGCAGATAAGTATATGAACAGCCTTTATATGGAAATATTACTTGATATAGAGTGAATTAAAATTAAAAACTTGGAGTAATTTGTATTTTCTATCATTATATTATTGGAATGGGCCTTCCTCTGCTGCTGCAATTTTCACATGCCCACACAAGTTGCATTAATTATTAGATACCACTAATTATCAATAGGCCTAACATTAGTGAAACACCACGAAAAGACGCGATGCGAAATTCAGATATATACTACGCTGAAAGATTTCTAATGAAATAAACCACTTTGTCGGAGGCCTGCTCTGATTACTATTTTCTGCAGTCTTGTCATCAATAAGGATCTAAAGCATAATGGATAATATGCTATAGAGCATACACTTTACCAAAAAAGTATTAATAACACACATATAAATATATATCTGTCTCACTTATATCAGCTCAGTACAGTGGCGTTTGTGTAATGTTGTTCCACGCATGTCTTTGCAGGCTCTTATCACCGTTGTCCAGTTGCTAGATCCAACCGATTCTGGCTTCATCACATTTGATACCTTCTGTGAAGGTGTGTGCCATCTCATCTTGCAGGATAGTGGTACGTATAAATTTTCATGCATTTCATTACCATGCAGTCCGGGTCAGGTCTTATGTGTGTAGGTGTGCCTGTGTATATATATATACATGCATGTGTGATATGATAGAGGTTTATATATATTATAATTCAGTACTTAACGTTTATAAATCGTGTATTATTTTAGTATTCATTTATGAACTCGTTTTTTTGTTTATGCCATTTTATTCATTACAAATTACATACATTAGTCTACACTTGTTTTTAAACTTTTAAAGTGGTTAGTTCAGTGTATCTTCCTACAGTAGCATGCATTATTTATCAGGAACATATATATATGCAGATTATTGTTGTTGCTGTCAAATGTGCAAAGGCAATTAAACGCTGATGTAAATGTGTTATATAATCTTGTTCTTCATACCCACCAATGCATGCTTCATTATCATCACTACAGATGTAGTTAATACAGAACCTGAAGATGTGGATGAGGAGGATGAGCTGAAAGATGGGGATGCATTCAGGAAAGATAATCTAGACATACTGGTTGACGAGGATATCCGTAAAACCTGTTTCTCTCAGCGATGCAGCAGCAGGCTCATGTGCAAAGATGAGAAAGATGATAATTCCAACCAGGTGAGGCTTACAAGCCTGTGATGGTCTATTGGCAATGCATCATCAAATCTCTTATGCAAATTGCAAACAATTAAATGAGATGGTTTCTCTGCTGCCCAATCTTATCACTTTCATCCATCAGGACATGATCATGGTTAGTCTTGCCATGTCGCATATGCCTTTCTAATTCCCTATTTCTTACTGTTGCATGTATTCCTTTCACCATATCCTGGTGAGTCTCTCGATCCATCCCTCTCCCTATCTTTTCAGTTTGGCAATAATCTGTTAATGCATATTATCAGGAGTAGATATTAGGGAAGGAGTGTGACATCAATAAACAAGAGAAATTCGTCATTTACTAGCCTTAAAATACCTACGATTTACTACGCGTAACTCATCCAACTTGAGCTCAAATCGTACACAGTACATTCGCCTAGCATCGTGCGAAATCGTTTCCTCATATATATACACCCGCAATCCGGAGATACAGACTAAAACGTATGACACGATTATCCATTTTTTGGCCATCAATCCAAGTCATTGCCCACCTCTATTCAAACAAAAGACAGCTACTAACGCGCTATTGCTAACTCGGCAGGCAATGTGGCTTGCTGGGGGATTTGAGCCCGATCAGCTGCTGCTGATTGTGGTTGGCCTGCGTGCATGGGGGCATGCCAGGTATGTGCAGTGGGGGCTGCTGTACCCCAGTATGTAGCTGTGTACCGGGTCAAAGGTTATCTCACCAAGAGTTGATGCCTAATCTCCTAGTGAGCCACATGCCCGCTGAGTTAGCAATAGCATGTTAGTAGCTGCCTTTTGTTTGAATAGAGGCAGGCAATGGACTTGGATTGATGGCCAAAGAATGGATAATCGTGTTGTACGTTTTAGTCTGTATCTCCGGATTGCGGGTGTATATCAGGGTTCTCCCCAGGATGAAATTCAAACAGGGGGGGAGGGGAGGGGTAGGGGGAGGGGGAGGGGGAAACTAGGGGGTCCGGGGGGCGTGTATTTTTACCGTACGACTAATTAATGCGTAAAATCGCCACCACACCATAGACGGTATTTGGAGTTCTTGTATATATAAGATAGCCGAGTCGGTGTACAGTTAGTTACAGGTTAACTGTGCATTGTCAGGTTAACTTGTGTACTGTCTGCAGTGCATGCGTGGTACGGTAAAAATACACGCGTCGGGTGTCCTGGTCGAACGGCAATTCTTGACAGCCGATTCCCGCGCTGGCAACCTTTTATTGTGGTGGAATTTAAACGGGGCGGAGGTAATTCAAACGGGGCGCAACGATTCAAACAGGGGGGAGTTTTCCCAAACGGGGCGCGCGCGCCCCGTTTGCGCAACGTAGGGAGAACCCTGCTACCACCTAATCGGAACCCCATCAATGTAATGTAACGCACTGTAGTTGGGTTGGCTGTAGCAATCACTGATGATAGCATTGCGTACGGCCGAGCATACGTGCGAAAATGTCCGGTGCACTATAAATCTGTACATATCACACCCGCTTCGCCAGCAGCGGTTTAAAACTGTAAACAACTGATTTTTGGACTGCGGATTTCAATCAGACATTTCTTAGTAACCAGCAGTGATATTGGACAAACTAATACGCGTTTGGATGTAAGGTTATGTACTTATTCACTACACAAGATGCCAGTTACTCTAGCATTCGTCAACATTGCATAAGCAATGGGCCTAATATGCCTTTAATATTGTCGTTATACGATGAGTAGATCAATCGTCTCAAATGATAAATGATAATTATATATCTCATTAACACTGATAGTGGTAGTGATGATAGTGATATAACGACTGTCAGACATGAGATCTCCCGCAGTACCGTCACACCATTGGCAGTCACTACATACGCCTTTCATGTTTCGATTGTAAGTTAATATCAGCAATAGCATCATGACCTCTAATCGCCTTACAATACATTACAAATAACACGTACATATGCTCATAGGGTCTATGTCCCCCAGGGTACTGCCGGAACGTACCCTGGGTACGGTCCGGTATACCGGAACGTACCCTGGTAACTATTTGATATGGTTAGAGTTAGGGTTAGGATTAGGATTAGGGAGTAGGCGTAGGCGACTCCCTAGACTCGTTACGACGTTAGTGGAGTAGGCGAGGTAGGGCCTACGGTCCGGCATATTACTATTATTAGATAGTACCAGGGTACGTTCCGGTATACCGGACTGTACCCAGGGTATGTTCCGGCAGTACCCCGGGGGACATAGACCCTCTCAGCCGTACATATAGTACACGTACTTTTTCTTATAGAATATATAGGCCTACATGATTGTACTCGCAGTGAATCACTGAATGGCATTGACAATGATATAAATTAAATCGATTGATAAGCAAGAAAAGCCAACGATATGACCCGTATTTTCAAAACTTACCATTCGACGGACATATGCACGTGCTACACAAAATGACGACCAGCACTATATATACATTTATTTCCATTTTGAATCTAATTTTCAATCAATCACGACTGTTACTGCGTTAGCTCGCTGTGGCGTCCTACACAACAACAAGCGCAATCACGGATTGCACGTCAAGTTTACATCATAACGTCACGTGACGCGGATCCAGACCTCCCCTGTGAGGTTTTATGTGATATTTGTCATATGTAATATTGAAAGAAAATTAGGGAAGGGTTGATTTTAATAACGTTTTTTTATGCATGATGATTGTAGTTACACAAGATTGTAATTAATGGTTTGTCTATCGCAAATAAATAGCGTTTTAGATATTTCAACGACTCTCCACTACATGTACGTGGCGTCATCTGTTGGTCGGTAAATTCATACTTTACTCACGTTCATCAGTCTCTCGATCCTCACCTCTCACACCTCGCTATCACTCCTCTTGATATGCGAAAACCCATAATATAAAAGGTTACTAGAAAAGACGAATCCATTGCAACAGCAGGAAGAGCAGACTGGTTTTTATGCACTTTTTCACGCACTCTCTCGTGGTTTAACTCTCTCGTGGTTTAACTCTCTCGTGGTTTAACTTTCTCGTGGTTTAACTCTTTCGCACGTCACGTCGTCGTTGTAAACACTTAATGTGGCTGAAAAAAAGGATGACGTCGCGGCTGAGAACGAATTCAACACAGGCACTTATGATGCTGCTGCTGCTGCTGCTGCTGCTGATGATGATGATGATGATATTGATGATGATGATGATGGTAAATAAGCATAAGTTGAATTTACTCAATTATTCATATATATATATATACTCTCTATCGCCAAATACACGTAAACACCGGTGAAATACTCTTCTGCAACACATAATCTCATCGCAAGCGCGCATCTGTGCGCAAACGAACAGAAAGATCACAGAAGTGACTCTATAATGCTGTGAGTTTACGCAGAGGTCCGAGGATTATGTATAAAGTGTATATTTCCGATATTTCTCGTGTGAAACTGAGAAATTGTTCGAAATGTGTATATAGCTAAAAAAGTTGCCGACGGAAGCAGTATTTCGCTGAATTTCTGCAATTTTCCTAGAGAGCACGTCGCAGCACTAGGTGCATGCGATAAAAAAATTCGCTAGCGTCTCAGCCAGTCGCAGAGGCGACGTCGGAAAGAGCGGGTATATGTATGTAGGTGCATTGTTAACCAGGCAGCGTTGAACGTGTTAAGAAATTATGCCCACGAAGTGTACCTGTGACAGATACATCTTGTCTCTTTACTAACAGTGTATAATTTCACACAATTAAAATTTGGCAGAGAACGGATACCTGAGAGTTGTTTGACGTGAAAAATTTCCATCTCACTGTCTTTTTTCAATGAGTGATATATTTGACAAAACCGACACGCAGATCGTAGAAATTATGCAATTACAACAACGAGACTATGACCAGAAAGAATCTTTAGCGACTACTCTGCGTGAGCGACTTATACTTTGTAAAATGAGGAAATGTGGCAGCATTTATCATATCAAACTACTCTTAGGTATGTGCTATTAAGTTTAAATGTATGTGTTACTCCAAAAATGGTTTATTCGGTTTGAAATAATGTGTTAGGTTTTGTAAGAATCCATCATGTTAGGCAACGGAGGCTCAATTTCTATTTAGGTTCAAGGCAGGTCTACCACTGCCGCC